GATCCAGCCAACATCAACTTCGCCACGCGTACGTAGTAGCTGGCACCTGGGAAAAGCAGATAGAGTTGAGGAACCTGAAACACTGACACTTCCTGACGCTTCTGACACTTCCTGACACTTCCTGACACTTGAGCCAGATGCATCTCGGAGCTTCTAGACTTGACCATGATGCTGTGAAAGTATGCAAGGCTGCACCCTACAGTCATAGGTATCAAAAATCATAAGCCTCAAAAAGTTTTATAACATCAACACTACATCAAAACATGATAAGCATCAACAACATTTGCAAGGATCAGCCAATGTGAGCCAGGTTCCTCCGGCCCCTTCGTCCTCTAGTCCTCTAGTCTCTGGGCTTGTTCCGGACCGCGGATCCCCCGGTCTTCTGGTCCTCTGGTCTTCTGGGTTCTTCTGGTCCTCAGGTCCCCTGGTCCCGTAGTCCGCTGGTCCTTGGTCCTGTGGGCTTTGCTATCCGGCTTTGAGCGTACCGGCTTTGACTGTCCAAGCACTGCACTTCGGAGCTGCCAGTCCGCACATCGGGTTGCAGCAACTTCAGCTACGTATGGAAGGCGACCGCGGGTCGAGCAAAATGGCCCGTAAACCGAAACTTTGCACCAGCAGCGTAAGTGAGCGTGGGGGACGTAGAGGCCAAGGGTCCCAAGGAAGAGGGCTAAAAGGGTCGTAGTGCTTGCGCTTGTTCGCGGTTTTTCTTGCGATGCTTTCGTGTTTTTTTCGTGGTTTCGGGTTTGTCGCGTTTCACGCGGCGCCCTGCTTAACCAAGACACATGAAGAGTTTCCACAGTTGGAAGTTGGAGGGTGGGAGGCGCGGTGGGGCCGGGGGCTTGGCCGGGGGAGGGGGGGGGGGGCAGCCCCCCATTTGCAAACACAATGCTGGCTGGCTTCATGGTCTTGGAAAGAATTATACAGCTTTTGAAGCAAGTCGCCGCGATAACGTGATGTACTGTAAAGCAAGCTCCCCGGATTTGCAAAGAACAAATGGGTTTTGTTTGAAGCAAGGCACTGGACATGATGCATCTTAAAGCAAACTTACAACTAGAACAGCTCATCTATACACCTGCTTTGGGTGGGAATCAGGCACTGCTGACGACGTCTGACGACAGCCAGTACTCCGGAAACCACCATGCATAAAGCGTTCCAAGGCTCTCAACCACTCCTACTTCTGAGGGCGGTGCGCGAGCACAACAGGACAGGCTCACAAGCACTCCTACTTCTGAGGGTGGTGCACGAACAAAATTGCACAAGGACAGCAAGAAAAGCATTCTGCATGTGAGTAGGGCAGAAAGCTCAGCCGGACTTGCAAACCTGCCGAAATGTTGGTTCGGGCAGTGCGCAGAACATGAAGGCTCGACCTGGGAGCGATCGGCGACAAGTCACGGCTGGTCAAGCGCTGCAGCGGCGGCAGCCGGGTCCCAACCTGCCCTGCGCACCACCTCACGCGCGTTCTCGCGCTTCAGTGTGATGCTCAAGGCCTGCAACAGTTTGACCTTCTCGGCCGCTGCAGATTCGCCCGTGCGGGTGGCCAACGCTTCCGCCAATGTCTCCCACGTTCTCATGGCAGCTGGGCCCCATCCCCCCCAACTAGAACAGCAGTGGGGTCAGGGGGGAGCCCCACATTTGCAAACACAATGCTGGTATGACGGGCTTGGAAAAGATTACAACGTTGGTATGATGGGCTTGGAAAAGAAAAGGATGGGTTTTGAAGCAGGTCGCTGCGATAGCATGGTTCTTCTGCAATCAAGGTTTTGCAACAAGCGCTGGGGTTGGGGACGGCACAGTTCCTGCCCCATTTACAAACATGTTGGTATGACCGACTTGGAAAGATTACAACGCTGGTAAGACGGGCCCGACAAAGAATAAACCGGGGGGGGGGGGGGGCACGCTTCGCAAATTGTGGCCGACTGCCTATCTTGCACTTGAAGCATAGGACGCAAGCAGGATCTCACAGCCCTGACTGCGCAAACCTACACAACTGTGTTCACAGAACTCCCATGCACGGGAGTAGCTTGGCGTGAGCGCTTCCGTAAGCACCGTCTGACTGGTGCGGTCATTTCTTGTAAGATTGAGTGTGGCTTGGCAAACTTGCTCTTCTGGGCCAAGGCTGCAGGACGTGCAGAGAAGCCCCCAAATCGCCAGCATATGCCAGCATCGGTAGGGTCTTTGGGGATCTCCAGACCGTAGTGGCGTAGTGGCTCCACCGCCACACCAGTTAGAGGAAACCCCAACCAGAAAGAATTCGAATGTACCTAAAGGGTGGAGTACCAGCCCGTGACCTTCATCCCAGAATGAAAGTTCTCAATCAATGTTGCGCGACAAGGGAATGGACCAAAGACACTGAATCTCATCTCTTCCGGACATCTCGCGACTTCCAAGAAGCGGACTGTTCTTTTGCGAAAGTTTCATTATCATCTTGGACTCATCAATGGGATCCAACCTGACACGCCAAGTTAAGCAAAGCACGATGCTGTGGGATCCAAATAACTCCTATGTCCTACGCCAAGCTGCGTATGGCTGAGGGAGCTCTTGCGACCCGGCGCCTCAGAGGCCGTCAGAGGCCGCGCAAGTCTGAAAAGTCTGAGAAGTCTCAGAGGGCCCCCTGGTGCATTGTAAGCCTCCTGCCAGGTCATTGACCTGCGCTAAGAGCAGGAAACCTATTTCCAACTATTGCCTACAAATCTGGGCTGTAGTGAGCCCTGAAGTCGCCTTAAAGCCTTGGCACTAAGATCAGGTGGCCGGAAGGCTTTTAGGGAGGCCCCTGAAAAAAGGTCTCGCATCCACGATTGAGATAGTGATAGAAACAGAGAGAGCTATTGCGAGAGATGATATGAGGCGGTTGGTGGTTCCACAAGAAAACCTGGCTTTCGACTTGAAAACCGACTTGAGAAATCAGTTTGTTTGTGCAGGCCCCCAAGGAACGGTAGTTGGTGAAGAGCCCACGTATATATGTGTATATACCTTATGCTCCTTTGGGAATTTGCTTTCGAACACAATCATTGTCATGTTTCACGTGTATATATAGATATACAGTTGTATATGGGTTGTTGAATGTTGTTGAACCAAAACCATGTTCCACATGAAGACAAACCAGTTTTCTGTGTAAAAAGCGGTTTCGTGTGGTGATTCCAAGTCGAAAACCAGGTTTGCTGTGGAACCGGTTTTGGTTTAGCCAACGTTTCGTATTTGCGTTTGCCATTGATCTGCAAACTTCAAACACCTTTGTCCAAAAATTTTGTTGTGTTTGAGGTACATACACATAGATGAATATATGTATATATATATATGTGTATACAACATACATTTTCTATCGTGATGGAATGGGTTTCTACACGAAGAAGGTGTTGAACCAAAACCGGTTCCACAGCGTGTTCTATGTGACAACCTGAGTTGCGTGGTGATGCAAAGGCGAAACCAGCCTTATCGTTTACGCAATAGGACTGGGGAATACGATCAAAGGAATACCATTTGGGGGACAAGATTTGAAAAATTCGCTCTGTAAGGTTTAGCAAAACGGATTTTGGAAATAGGATTTGTTGTTTAGGGTTCAGGGCCTCTCCTCCTTAGGCCCATATTCGCTTTAAAGGTTTCGTGTTGAGGTGGACGTTCGGAAATACTGAAATACTGAAATTTCAGTACGCTGGATCCAAGATCTATGATTGTGACAGACTGCTTAAATCATGCCTTGGATACAGTGCGAATTCTAAATCAGCCTGATTCGGGTTGAATCGGCCCGATTCAGCTTGAATCGGCCCCGGAACCAAGAACCAAGAACAAAGATTCCCAGGAAAAGATTTTGTGGGAATCTTGTTTCTTGGTTCTGGGTTCAGGGCCCGATTCAGGTTGAATCGGCCCGATTCAGGTTGAATCGGCCCCGGAACCAAGAACCAAGAACCAAAAACCAAGAACCAAGATTCCCAGGAAAAGTTGTTGTGGGAATCTTAGTTCTTGGTTTGTGGTTCCGGCCCGATTCAGGCTGAATCGGCCCGGAACCCGAATCCAAGATCCTGAATCCTGGATCTCTGGTCGGTTCCTGGGGGGTGGGGGGGTACCATATATATATATATACATATATATATATATATATATATATGTATATATATATATATGTACACATATATTTATATACACGACTCCCGATCGAAAACCCATCCTAACACACCTAACACTCAAACACTAAGGTATAACAACGATACATCTGCCTTACAGACATTGATTACCCTTCTTTTTGTTCAACCAATAAAGACTATGCCAAAATATCAGAACTTCGCACAAAATGATTTGGCAGTTAATAATATGAAGAATGGTCTGGCCTTTATCAGCATAAGCAACAGAAAATCACGATATTATACATATATATATATACACATATATATATATGTATACATTACCATTTCAACATGCAAATCCGAAGAGACGCCGAAGTCAATCATCCAGACGTGTATATGATCACAAAATACAAAAAGCTCAATACATGTGATGTTCCCCCGTTTGTATTTCTATATACACATGGATATAGATATACATACTTGTGGTAGACAGGTTACACAAAGGATGGTGTGTTTCCACCATCATTGTGTTTCTCTTCTTTAAGGCTTGCAGGGCTTTGAGGGCTTTAGGGTGTTGATATTGAGGGTTTAGGGCATTGAGGGCTTGAGGGTATTCAAAGTCTAGGGTAAGGGCAGTGAGGATTGAGGGCATTTAGGGTTCTGGGTCCCAAAAAAAGCTGTTCGCAACCACCGCTGGCTGATGAGCTTGTGGGATTGAAGGTCTCTAAAGGCCTCTGTGAGCCAGCAGAATGATCTCATCAGACAGAGAAGGGGGTGGTTGCAAACGCGATACGCAACCAGCATTTCATTTTCTGAAGCTTTTGGACCGTCTAATTTTCCGCCTTTCTCTGAACAAAACTGGCTGCATTCAGCGTTCGCAACCATCCTCTTCGAGTCTGTCATGAGATTTTTCTGGTGGCTCATAGTGGCCCGGAGGCCTTCAATCCCAAAAGCTCATCAGCCAGACAGTACAGACTTGAAAAGTTTTCAAGCCTGCCTGATCAGATGTTTCTCGTGGGCTCGTTGGTGCCGGCCCCGGAGGCCTTCAATCCAAAAAATCTCACCAGCCAAGAGACCCCCACGCGCGCGCGCGCGCACACACACACACACACAAAAAAAAAAAAAAAAAAAAAAAAACAAAACATCTTAAAGTTGTTGTTTTGTTGGTTGAAAGCTCTCAGGTCTTCAGGACGATCAAGTGGTTTTCTTCAGCGGTTTTCAGGGTTCCCCAGCTGGTCCCTAGAGGGTGGCATCCTCAGCGATCCCAGGTTTTCTCAGTGGGTGCTCAGGGTCCACCCCCCCCCTTTCCCCGAAAAAACAAAAAATGCTGTTTTTGGCGTGGAAAAATTGTCCTTGGCCAGGTTTGGGATGTTGTGCCACTTTTCAAAAAACTTGTGGAGTGGTGGGTGCGTGTGTCCTCAACCCGACTGCCCCAACAGACCTAACGCAAGCCTTCTAACTTTTTGTTCTCACAAGCAAGCCCTTTGCAACCACCGTTTTACAGTCTGGACAGTCTGGCTCATGAGCTTTTGGGATTGCAGGCCCCCTGACAAACCCCTAAACCCAGCTATCTCGGTGAAAGGGCCCATGGCACTATCACAGTGCCTGGACATGATAGCAGGGCATGAATGTTCTTTGGAATGGATGCTCCCACGACTAGCGCTCATACACACAGATCGGATTTGTAGGAAATAGTTGGGGATAGCTTTGAAGCCCCAGAATGCCTCCAAAACTAACCCCTTGTTGAAGAGGCGCGCGCGCGCGCGCCTTAAGTTAAGTCTTTGCTTGCATGCAAGCTGCAAGCTGCAATGGTAATCTCCCAGTGAGCCTGAAGGATTTCCTCCCCTCTGGGTAAGGGGACGTCCCTTCCGAACCTCAACTCTGCATAGCTCTCACTGGCACAGTGGTGCACTCTTGCGCTTGCTTGCGCTTACTTGGCTTTGCTGCGAACTTCATTGCACAGAGATGTCAGAGGCCGAGGCTCACCTTTCACAAAAACCTTCAGGAACTCCGGGAATGTCACTGTGTTATTGCCTCCAAAAGGGCAAGTCTCGAGTCGTCTGCCAAGAAGAGCGAATTAAAAGTAAGAATCATTCAAAGCATGCCAAAATGTTGTCAAAGTCATAATACTAAGAGATGGGCCATCAATGTCAAGTGTCGTGAACTGCTCAGACAGCTCCTTCAGCCGGCGCCACATGGCATCACACCACTTCAGCAACTGTGAGCAAGTCACCACCAATCACCGCCGCCAGTCCTGCTCAGACATCGGCTGTCCAAGCTTGGCATTCATCTCCTGGTAGGAGTAGCCAGTTGACATGCCAGCGATGGTCTATGAACAAGGAAAACATACTAGGATAGCTCCAGCTCCTTGACCTCCTGGTAAGTGACCTTGCCATTGCCATCAATATCCAAGAGGTCAAAGGCTTGCTTTTGCTCGAGCACCTTGATCGTCGTAGGCAGAACAAGCAAATCCCTACACCGGACAGTACAATGGCGCACTTGGTCCTTGCTCAGCTCGTATCTGGTCATATAAGCCTTGTCAAGCCATCAATTTCGACCAGTCACAGAAGAAATGCTGGCATTGAGATCGCCTCCAGTAGCCCGGGCGACAGCGCACCCTGTACACAGGAAGTGCTCTGCACGTCAGTTCAGTACGGCTATGTCCAAGTCCAGCTCTTGCTCATGCAATTCGGAGCCTTGACGTCTGCCATGGTACGCATCTTGCAGTTGCTTCCAGTCGAAAAACACAGCAGATTGAAAGGCTCAAGTTGGGCTGCCCATTTGGGGGTCGGTTTGCATGGGGTGCGCTAGCGCGACATAGCTTCCCCATGGTTGCTTCTTCTTTTTCGACTTTGAGCACCCTTGACACTTGTAGCCATCCCTCTTCATCTTTCAAGAACTTACTGGTGCTTGTTGGCTCTAAGCTTGGGATTGGAAGTTGCAAAGTCAGCTGATTGTTGCTTGTGAAATCTTTGAACCGGCCAGGCCATTTTGAACAGAAGCGTCACGTGATCATGACAGAATCACCTAGCTACTCGCAGCAGGGGCAAGGCACCACTGCTCGGAAGATAAACGCATGGTCCCATGGTGTCCTCCACGTCAAGGAAGCTGTAGACGACAGGCCCTGCACTTGCAGAAGCTTCTTGTCCACCACATGCGGGCGTCCAGAGCCTTCCAATTTTTCCGCATAGGTCCGAATCCTTCAGGCGAGCACAGCATAGCACCGTATGGGTACTGCATCCAGTATACACCAGAAGTCAAAGAGCACCTCACTTGAGACCTTCAACATCCTAAGCCTCAGGGCTTGGCCGATCCACGTCGCTGCTGTCGCAGAGCGACCAGGCGGTCCTCCGGTCAGACTGCTGTCGCAGACTGCCACCAGATGCCACCAGATGTCGCATGTGCTGTGAAATTCAAGGCCGGACTGGGGCCCCGGCTTTAAGTGAAGGTCAACTGAGCGGAAGGTAAGCTTGCACCAGTACTCGAGCTCTCGAACCTAGCAGATGCAGGCGTATCGAAGCCGCTTACCCCCGATGCTGTCTTCGCCCACCTTGTCAGTCTCGGAGAGCCTCGGAAGCTGCGTGAATGAGTGATCACCTATGTTAACAAAAATCAAACCCAAGCACTCTGTAGCTGTGAGACTTCTGGAGGACGTCGTGTTAAGCGCTTTAAGCCTGATCCAGCAGATTCAGCGGGGACTGCAGAGTCGCAGAAGGGACCGAAACCGTTTCTAGAAGCCTGCGGGCTCACGCCGAGCCGCTCTGCGACATTGCGCTAGATGGCCGCTACATGGGTCTACATGAGTCCAGATGTGTACAGTTGACTGACTGAGCTTTGTTGGCTTGCAATATCGCACGCAGCAACATGCACAGCCTGCTCGACTACGGCATTGTCACGCATGCCAGATCACATGTGGAATGTGGTCAACATGGTCCACACACAGCTCTACGTAACTTCTGCATTGGACAGGGATTTCGCGATTGCTAGTCGCTGCAACCACTGCTGAAGCCTCTTTCAACACGCAAAGCCTGCAATGCACTGGGCCGGCAGTCCAACAGCATCATGTTTTTCTCAGTCAAGACCATCTAATGAGACGCCAGCTTGTCTGCCGGCATCAGCAGCAACCCGGGAAATGCCTTGCATGGCCTCGCGGGCTGAAGGCAAGAACTTATCATACGTACTACTTATCATTACTGGCCGTGTGTCAAGAACCGGCAAGCTGATTATGTAAAGCCGTCTACGGCATGCCTCACATTTGTCGGAGCGGGGAAGGCGGAGTAGGGGGTAAAGTGTGTGGGGAGAAAGGGGGGGCTTCTTAGTGGAACTTGGCGGAAATAAAGAGATCGTACTTATACAGCAAGCTTGCCTGCCTGAAAAGAAATATTATTTCCACGGGGGACAGGGGCGCGAAGCCCCCGCCCCATTTGCAAACACAATGCGCGGACTCGCATGTTTTCTGAACACAAGTTCTCTTTATGGTATGATCGCTTGCAAAGCTTCAGAAGAAGTGAACAGTGAGGGGGGGGGGGGGGGGGCAGCCTGCCCCGTTTGCAAACAAATGCTCGCATGATGGGGTCGGAAAACGATGCGCATGTGTTCTTAACGCAAGCTAGTCCGTTTTTTTCAATGAGATTGGAAGGCAGGCAGGGGTTGGGTGTGTGGCGGCCCACCCCAATTCCAAACACAATGCTCGCATGACGGGGTTTGGAAAAAAAAACACATGTTTCTTTCTTTGACATCAGCTTGTTTCACAAAGCAAGCTTGCAAGGATGCAAAGAAAGCAAAAAAGCGGGGCCATTGGGCGTGAAGAGGCCCCCCTGTGGCAAACACAATACTTGCATGACTAGTTTGAAAATTTAAAAAAGGATTCGCGTACTTTCTTAACGCAAGTCCTCGTTTATGGCAAAATCTTTTTATGCGGCATGACGGCTGCTGAAATGCATTCGCGTGTTTTCTTCACGCAAATCCTCTTTGCATGATCTTCTTGTCAAGCAAGCCTCTATTTCCTCGGTATTATGACAATTAATTACAACTAGGTCTCCAACCCTAGACCAAAAGAAATATTCGAAACGCGAACAAAACAAAGGTACAAAACAGCTCGGTTCCGCATAGCTAAACTGAGCATTCGAGTAAACCAATAAGGTGCTCTGGCGGACTCTGGCGTGCTTAACGAAACAGGTCATATAACTCATTCAGGTCAGCTCTTCAGCCACCTGCGGAGGGGACTGCCGCCCTCGTATTCCTGCCATGACTGGCGACTGGAGACATCCGAACAGGCAGGACAAGGCGATTTACAAATTTAGCCAGGCACACGCACACTGCGAGGCACGTACCGGCTTCGAGGTGCTGACACCGAAGAAGGCCCTTGGAAAAAGGCAGAGGGTCGAAAGATGTTTCAGCTCGGGCTCAAAAATTTAGTACGCTCTAAAAAAAACTCACAGAGCAGTAGTGTAAGACCTGTGCCAGGTGGCGCTGGATCGCCAGCAAGAGTCTCCTCACAAATGAGATCTGAAAGCTCGCAGCGCATCTGCTAACGCCTGAGTACATGACACTATCCGAGCCCTCGGCAATGGTTGTTGTATGTTGTTGTGAAGCAAGCGCCTGGCACAACATTGTAATCAACATAAACAGAAGTGCGAGCTGCGCCACCATGCGCCACCTCCTTCTGGTGGGAAGACTGGCTCACTTCCTGGAAATCCAGGTTGCGCAGCAAACAGCAAGTCAGTCAACAGTCACGCACTCAAGGAGGTCCTTGACTGCCTTGATGGGCCTTGCTTGAAGCACTTTGACCTGGAGCCTCAGCATGGAAAAATGCGCAATCAGATGTAACAGCAAGCACTGACAAGCCCTTCAGGCCCATGGCCAGAATCTAATTCTGAAGCACATGTATAGCAAAACTCATGAACTGATAACAAACCTCCGACAAAAACAAGCGTAAATCAATAAAGTATCACCCGCCGTTGACATCGAGCCGGTCACATGTCAAAGGCCCTGAAGAGAAGTTTGCAACAAATCCGCCGAGGCCTCGGGCCGAAGGTGTAGTCAGAACAGGCACCCCCCTCTCCCCTCAGGCCCAAGCCCTTTTTCGGACCCCTTTTTTTGCCTCAAATGGGTACCCCCCCCTAGGTGAGCAGGCTCCGCAAGCGGATGGTTCGCCAGGACCAGAGGCAGTTGCAGCCCTTCCCAGCAGGGCCCCCCCCCGCTTGACCTCCCCGACCCCAAACCCCCCCCCCCCCTGCCGCCCCCCTACCCCCCCCCCCCCCACCCCCCCCACCCCCCCCTCCCCCCACCCCCCCTACCCCTCCTACCCCCCCTACCCCCCCTACCCCCCCCTACCCCCCCTACCCCCCCCTACCCCCCCCTACCCCCCCCTACCCCCCCCCCCCCCCTATCCCCCCTACCCCCCCCTTTTGTCCCTAAGCCACATGAGCGGTTGGGCTCGAGGTGCTAATGGACACAACAAGAGGGGGCTTGATGTTTTTGTAGGTGTCGCTATAGCACACCCAATGGTTCATAATCTAGGGGTGTCGCTTTTCACCCATCGTTTTACAGGGTTTTAGGCATTCGTGTGCACCCCTTGCTTAATTGTTTATGGCTGGGGGTTTTGGCGCTTGCTCACATAAGGTGTTTGTGAAAGGCGGAGTTTTCCTCCGACGCGCTGGCTTGAGGGCCGGAGGCTCAACTGGTGTGAGCACGGCCGCAAATCCGCCGAGGCCTCGGGCCGGAGGTGTTGTCACTCCAAATCCTCAAAGCCACTTTTCGGACCCTTTTTTTGCCTCAAATGGGTACCCCCCCTGAGAAACCGGTCCGCAAGCGGACGGTTCGCCAGCACCAGACACAGTTGAAGCCCCTCCCAGCAGCCCCCCCCCACCCCCCCACCCCCCCCCCACCCCCGCCCCCCACCCCCCCGCCACCCCCCCCCCCCCCCCACCCCCCACCCCCCCCCACCCCCCCCCCCCACCCCCCCCCCCACCCCCCCCCACCCCCCCCCCCCCCCCCCCACCCCCCCCCCCCCCCACCCCCCCCCCCCCCCCCCCCCCTATTTCGCCCCCCGGTTTTCGAGGCTCAACTGGTGTGAGCACGGCCGGGGACGAGCCGAAGAGTCTAAGCTTGAACTGAAACCCGAAACCTTAAATCTTAGCTCCCCCCCCTTTCCCCTCTGCCCTAAACCCAAAAAAACCCTAAACCCCAAAGCATGAACCTTGAGCCCTAAGCCCTCAATCCTAAACTAACCCTCAACCCTAAACCCCAAACCATAAACCATAAACCCGGAACCCTAAACCCTAAACCCAACCCTTATTGCTTGGGTCCAGCGACTTGGGCGCTGCGGATGCGCTGGGCCGGGCCGAGGCGGGTCGCGTAGCGTTAAAATTAAATCAACGCAATGCCCGGCTGCAAGACTGCACAAGGGCTCGCACTTTCTTGTCGACATGTTCGGGGACCGTGTGCTATCGCACATCACGCATTTTGCATGAGCGCGTGCATCCTGACTCTCACGAAGGTGTGTTCAGATTGGTTCAGATTGGTGCTGAGACTCCAGGCAAAATGCAGGGCAACCTGCTGAAGAACCCGGCCTTTGCCTGCTCTGTCAACATGCGACGCACCATCTGCAACTCTGCAGCTGCCTCAAAATGCAGATTCCGCGTTGTGACGGATTTTATGCCATGGATACCCCTCAGAATATGTGTGGGCATCTCGCCTTCTTGTCCGTGGAATCAGCACTGACGGCACGGTCCAAATCTTTGGCAGCCGGTCCCTGCACGTCGCTGGCATGTCGCTGTCAAACTTTGAGACTTTAATGGAGTCCTCTGGCAGTTGAGCTTCCCACCCAGCGCTTCATACGCGCGAGAGCAAAGCCACGACGAAGCAAGGCCTTTGTAACAGTCTCGTGACGTCTGCAAAGCTACACAGAGCCAGGCGAAATCAGGCCAACCACCTTCTGGTGCATGGGCTCGAACCGTAAGGCCTGACGGGAATCTTCATAGATGTTTTACTCCCGAAGGCACACCGAAATGCACGCATCGTTAGTGCCGCTCTGGCCATGATGGCATTTTGTTGGTAGAACACGCACACAACACACACAACATGCACGCCCGGTGACGCTCTGACAATCTTTGACGGCATGCACAAAGCAGTCTTGACCAAAGATGCACTGCACCAGCAGACTCTGGCATAGTCCAAAGCCTTGTATGACTTGCATGTCTAGCAGCAAGATCATTTGCTGCTCCGAGTCTCTGTACCGAATGTATCGACGCTTTCTTGCTATGCAATGGAAAGGCCATTTCCGAGCACGTTCAGAGTGCGGTATACCAGAATTCAGAAGAGCAGCTTAAGTACAAACAGCTCACTGAAGATCAAGCTAAGCAAGACTCTAGCGGGACCATGCGGCATGCGACACTCTCTCCACGCCTCAGAGGCATCGAGCACACATTCGCGCCAATCCTGTTCAGATCTGATTGACTGCAACGAATTCAAGCAGACAGGTCTGTCAGACTTTACGGGACAGGGCCGCACTCAACGACAGGAACCATTCAGTACTTGCACCGTTGCAAACCTCTATGCCAAAAACTACAAAAAGGCTCTACATGGTAACATAGCCTTCAGTATTGGATGATACAGCACAGTTAATGCTCGTTACGTTGGAAGGGCGCTCTCTACACATTCTCTGGCTGCATGGAGCCTGTTCTCGTAAAGAGCACACGACCGCTATCTGCTGTAAAGAAGGAACCGCTGAAAAAAGGGCCTATAAAAGTGAAGAGGCGAGGCTGCCTTGAATGCTTGAGCCGCTGAGGCAGTACTGTCTATGTTGAGGAGAAGTGGGGCTCGAAGTGAACCCCTCGCAAGCTGCGAAAAATTTTCTGCTTTGGCACCGGCGCTCTTAAGTGTCGGTGAATTATGCTTGCTGGAAACAGTCTGGAACTCTGCAATGCGGAGGAAAAGACAAGACCTGTGCTGCTTTGTAAGTTGCCTTAGGATGCCACTATGACAACCAAATAAGGGTCCAATAATACCTTGCCAGTGTGCAGTGTAGCCCTTCGCTACTTATTCTTTTGCGGCTTCCTAGCCAGCTCCAAGATTTCAGGAGCACCGCTGGAAGCTTTCCAACCTCAATTCAGAAAAAGAAGAGAGCGAGGCTGGCAAAAAAAAACATCTCAACATGGTACCTGGTGCAAGTGCTTTAGTGTCGAGCCCAATCCGTCGTGATTCAGCTGCAATCCCCAAAGCTCCTTCAATTCCAGGCACACAGAAGACACGATCCGAACAGGCAGTCTGCGGAATGACCTAGAGTAGGGTTGGCAACTATCCGTAGGGTCGCCAAACGCTGTCAAGGAGCTCACAATCCACGATAGGCTGAATGAACCTTGGTGGCAAGTGTGGCAAGACATGTTGCAACACAGCTCTCTATGCTCTCTGAAGTCGAGCATATGAAACTTGTTCTCAAGGGGCGGACGATGCCAGGCGATGTTACGCCAGGCGGCAAGAGAATCTGTTGGCCTGCAGCTCCAGCCACGCAGTGCTTGACCATAGCTTCAACACAATGTTAGCTGTCATGAATCTGAACTGCGGCTAGACTTCCTCAGCCTACGCATGGGCTGTGCTGGTGAACAAAGACGAACACCTGTGCCGGGCCTGAATAGGAAGATGCAAAGGAGCCACCCGGCGAAGCCAACAAATTCTCGTACCCCAGTCCAAACTCGGGATCTTTGAAGTCCTTCTGCGAGTACGGCCTGGAAAGACAGCTGGACACGTCAAAGCCACACACAGTCACACCCATTACCGAGTATCACCGCACATCTCCAGACCCGACCAACCCTACTAAGGCCCTACGACACTGCTCGACAAGCTGTGCCTGGACGTTGCCAGCGACTCATCATCACTGTCATCACCTCACGTGTCCACTCCACACCGGCCAGGCTTCGGCTAAATTGCAAATGTCACTTTGATGTCAATCATCCTGAGGCCCTCTCTGCATCTGCGCGTTCGATTGTAAGTCACGACCACAGCAGTCACAGCACACAAGATGGCTGCTGCTGCCTCAGAGGACAGACAAGCTACAAAACACGCTTCAACATCCACTGTGTCTGGTCAGGGCTTGGGCCAATCTAGGTTTCAAGGTTTGGCCAGCCAGCACACTCTTCTTTACTGACCATCTCTTTGGCTTAAGCTCGCCATCCACGTGTTTCGGGCCTCGGGCTATCCCGCCCCGCATCGCTTGTCGCTTTTCATTTGGCAAGGCTAAGCCTCTCCCGCCGTTCTGGCATTGGGCCGGCCCCTAGAGCACTAAACCCTCCCCCCCTCCGCCCCCCTCCTCCCCTCCTCCCCTCCTCCCCCCTCACCCTCCCCTCCTCCGCCCTCACCCTCCCCTCCTCCCCTCCCCCCTCGCGCTCGTCCTCCTCATCATCCTCGTTATCGTCTTGATCGTATTCATTCAACGTCACGATCACTTGAAAAAAGCAGCTGAGCACACACTGCATGGTGTGCAACAGTACATGGGACTGCAGAAGCTGAGCATCGAACAGAAAGAAAAAGTGGGGGAGTCGTCAAGAATCTGGAAAACGTCATCCCCTGATGAATATCACGGCTTTGTGCATAACTTGGAACAATACTTGAGGTGAGCCCACCTAAGATGCCCCATGGCCCCATGGCTAGACCAGATTCAATCGGCATCATTCGATTCCAAGTCGAAGCACAATGTGCATATCATGCGTTGTCGTCAAAATGTTTGTTCCCGAAATTGACGCTAATGCGGCAGTACCTGTGTGCCGCCTTATGTCCCAAAGGAAAAACAAGCTCATTGAGATGGAGCAGCAAACGCTGCATTTGAAGGATCTTCGCCTCATTTCCTAGAGAGGATGCTAGCGCGCACCGGACGAGTCGTCAGAAGAACTGCTAGTGCTGCTACTACCGGAGCTTTGGCGCGAGCAAAAAGCTCTCTGCTGTCGCCACTTGTGGGCTCGAGCTCCGGCAAGCTGCTCGCAGTAACTGGCCAGCCTTTTCTCAAAGCGGTTTGCGGTTGCACTGGGATCATCTGGCATTTTGTCGACCATGTCACGCACGATTCAATCATTGTAAGATCAATGGTTGTAAACCCGTGCGGCACGTGGGCCAAAATATTCCTGGATGTTTTGCGTTGAGATTTTGCTAGCGCCGAACTAGCGCGGTGCTAACGTGCAATACTATCCTTCGTTTGCACGATCTGATCGTATCTCGCAAGAGAAGTCTCACTCAGAACACTTCAACGCATGTTGAAGTCGTAAACAAGACTACAAGACCTGCAGCCTGAGCGCGCACTTGGAGCGACAGAACTTGCAGGCGAGCATTTACACCAGGACGAGTGATCGACAAAGTCGTTGGAAATAAGCGGAACGTGCAAAAATGCGAAAGACTTCAGAACTACCAACAGCTGAACGGGACCAACCACTGTGACTGATTGTGTGTGGAGCGCCTTACACTTGCTGGATTTGGCCTGCGCATGGGAATGTAACATCTGTTGATTTTATTCCTCGCGCCGCAATGGGGGTTTAGAAGATCTCCCTGCGTGCTTATAGCACAAAGACATGAAAAGATACTGGCCAAACCCATGAACTCATGCAAAAACAAAGTAACCGAACAGATGCGCGAACTTTGAACGCAACCCATATATTCGATTCGTGAAGCAACAGATTCGGCATGAGTTGCTTTAGACGAAAAATAGCCAATGGTCCGAGGAGTGCAGTTCCAGAGAATCCAGATCTGTTTGGCGCCTCGTGCTGCTCCTGCTTGACAGGCTGCTGCACCAGGGAGTTGGCGCTTTGCAATCCGAGCTGCAGGGGTCATGACACGCGAGAAGAGTTTAAAGCTGGCACTGTACTCGTTAGGCCTTCACTACTTGCCGCCACATTCTGTGTGCAAGTGCATGGTACTGGGCATTGCTGCTGCATCACGAGTAGTCGAGAAACGTGGCATCACGACGACGACATCCTTGAACCATGCAACATTTGTACGGATGTCCAGCCTTTATGCCCTGCTCTATGGAAGGGTTCAGGACGAAGCTGTCATCCGACTCGTCAAAAGTATTGCCGCCACCAATTTGCTTCCAGGACTGATGGGCCGGTTGCATGTCAAGCCTTGGCCCGCAGCATGTCGGCCAAAAGTAGCACATCTATACATCTGAGCTTTCTCATGACTTGCATTTGAATTTGAACACATTTGAACACAATAGCATTTCGATGGGTGGGGCTCACACTGGCGCTGAACCCACTCGCGCACCTGCGCAAGGTCACCGCTGGTGACCACAATTGGTCGAGCACACTGCTAAAATTCATGCCTGCTCATCGAGGCACGACGCGGACGGTGTCATGCAAGAGCTCAGTGCCTGCCGCGTTGGCACAGGAACATAGGAAACCCACTGGAAGATGTGTTGCTGTCCAAGAGAATTAGAGGAACACCGCGGAAATCCGCACAGCCGGCAGCACCGAACCAGGAGCTGCAGAACGTATCGGTGGGCTCAACTCAGGTGCTCTGCGGCCAAAGCTCCTGGCATGGATTGGCATTGTCTGATACTGTTGATGCGCCCGTATAAAGCCACCTCAAACATGCATGTGGTGCAGCAAATACATGGGCATGACGGCACAGTGCCTACAGCCCAGTCATGTTCGGCATTGCTTGGCCAAAGCAGGACTCTTTAGCACAACGTTGCTGGCGATGGGACCATGGCCTGCATCCAAGATGTTCCACATCTCCGAGCGCGTCATTCCTGACACCTACCAAGACTCACAGTTCCAATCTACTTGTTTGCTGGCTTCCTACGCTTGTGACAAATGCGTATCCACTGCTTCCGGCGAATCTATCGAACTTGTCTTGCAATCATCTTGGCCGAATGACATATGAAAAACGGAGCCACCCTCAGAAGCAGGCGTGGCTTTCTTTAGTATGGTCTGTTTGGCCCGGGGTATGGAAAGGGAGCTCCTGGACTAGGAGGGCCCTAAATGAATGGATATGGGAAAGACCCATGTAACGACCCAACCCCCGGCATGTAACAAAAGAGGGTAATGAACAAAGAGGCCTCAAGGCATCACAAGGCGGTCCAGCGCTTGGGACTGGCGCTGGGGTCTAAGGGGGTTTTGACCAGGCTCGGAGAAGCAAGGTCGCAGTGGGAGGCAAAGGTCGTAGGCAGGGTCCAAGCCCATCACAAGCGGTCACCGTGCCAGGAAGGAAAACAGCGTTTGCTTCATGATCGGTTTCGTGTTCGCATAACCTGTCGTTTCATGCAGAGTTCCTGTGCATGGTGTTGTGACACTGGCCGCGAAACTACTCGATAGGAAGAGGTTGGGGATGCCAATTTCTGCCTGCTCAAACTATTTCAAGACCTTTGATACAAATAACCTTTCTCGGAAAGTTGGATTTTTGCAGTCTAGGCTTCCGACAGCAGGACATCTACAGGCAAGCAGTGCTTTGCTTGC